AGGACGCAGGAGGAGAAGGCAAAGGGGCACGCACAGGAGCAGTAGACGGACGCAGAGACATCCGGTGCGTGCTAGGGGCAGGAGGAGGACGTTGGCGCGAACTACGAGCACTAGTGCTAGCAGGACTGACAGGCGACGCAGGACGAGACGCAGACTCACGACGCTCAGTAAGACCGCCAGTAGGACCAGTGTAAGGAGAAGGAGCAGGAAGTGGGGAGGCCGGCTGCAACTGTAACTGTGACTGGACAGGCTGTGAACACGCTAAGGGAGGAGGACCAGGAGGAGGCGAGAGACCAAGAACCTGCTGAAGGAGCGGAACGAAGTACGGCTGAGGGCGCGCGGCGACTCCAGACACAGCAGGGATAGCACCTGTACCCCCAGCGGCAGTACCAACGCCCGAGTCCTCAGCACCAGGAGTGGCTCCAACACCAGGGTCCACAGCACCTGCCGCAGCTCCAACGCCCGGGTCCTCAGCACCACCAGAGACTCCAACACCATGGTCCACAGCACCTGCCGCAGCTCCAACGCCCGGGTCCTCAGCACCAGCAGGGACTCCAACACCAGGGTCCACAGCACAAGCCGTAGCTCCAACGCCCGGGTCCTCAGCACCAGTAGCACCTCCAACTCCCGGGTCCGCAGCACCAGCAGCAGCTCCAACGCCAGAGTCCTCAGCACCAGCAGCACCTCCAACTCTCGGGTCCGCAGCACCAGCAGCAGCTCCAACGCCCGGGTCCGTAGTACCAGCACCAGCCGGGTCCGTGAGACGAGGCGCACCACTCCGAAGTGTGCAACGGCGCTCGTACCACTCACGGATCCGCTCACGAGAGGGGAGCTCCCGACTAGGAGGAGAAGTACCAGCACCAGTCACTGTAGTGCGCCTGGTACCAGAGGTACCTCTCCGGAGGCTGCAGTACTGTAAGTACCACTCACGCAACTGCTCCGAGGAGAGGTCTCGTCCAGGTGTAGTACCCTCAGGCCCAGCACCGCCAGAGTCAGAACTCCGAGACCCAGCACCCCCAGGCTCAGCACCCCCAGTCACCGCACCCCGAGGCTCAGCACCCCCAGGCACAGCACCCCCAGGCTCAGTACCCCCAGTGTCCGCACCCCCAGGCCCAGCACCCCAAGAGTCCGCACCCCCAGGCTCAGCACCCCCAGCAGGACGAGAGTCGACAGCAACCTCAACAAGCTCGACCGGGTCTACCTGAGACACACCTGAGGGAGCGGCACCCTGGGGGGGGAGGGGGTCTACGACAGCAGCACCTGGCGCGAGGAAGAGAGGCGGGGGTGGGAGTAGAGCAGTGCGGTAGGAGAAGAGGCGGTAGTAGGGGACAGACTCGTCAAAAGTGACGTCCTGAGAGGGCAAGACCCGGCGCGAGGTGGCGCGGTAAAACTGCCAACCAGGCGCGTCCGGAACAAAGCCGAGGAAGACGCAGGGAACAGCAGGGGAGGAGAGCTTGTCCGCAGACGAATCGCGGACAAAAGCTCGAGATCCCCAGACCCGGAAATGCGACGCATCGCCAACCTCCCCCGTCCACAGCAGTGTGGGCGAGGTCTCCGGCAAGGAGACACGGGGGCAGAGGTTGAGCTGATGCGCAGCGTATCGGACCGCAAACGGCCACAGAAAGTGGGGGGCAGCCGCATGGATCAAGGAGGTACGAGCGACCTCCATGACCAGGCCAATGCGGCGCTCCGCAACCCCATTCTGCTGTGGAGAGGCCGGAAGCGTGAACGACTGCTCAATGCCGTGCTCAGCACAGTAGGCTGCCAAGAGGTCGGAGGAGAACTCACCACCTCTGTCATAGTGCAAGCGCAGGACAGGAAAGTCCGAGCGGAAACGCTCGCTGAGCTGGAGACGAGCTCTGCGGATCCAAGGGATCAAAACATCAGGGACCTCACCCTTGGTGCGCAAGGGGAAGACCGTGGTGTAGCGCGAGTAGTCGTCAACAACGATCAGGAAGTACCTCTCCTGACCCTGACCACGGACGCGGGCTGGGCCCCACACGTCCATGTGGAGCGTCTGCAAACGAGCAGTCGTCGGGGGAAACGAGGAGGATTGAGGAGCGGCGCGCTGCCGCCCCTCGACGCAGGGAAGACAGGGAGGAGCAGGCGAGGGTGGGAGGGGAGGGAGGACCCTGGGAAGACCAGAGACAAGGTACCGGGAGTGCATGGCACGAAGGCGCTGCACAGACAGGTGGCCCAGTCGGTGGTGCCAGAGGACAGTCTCGTGCGCTAGAGAGCGACATGAGCAGGGGGCGGACAGCTGACCTGACGCGGACGTAGACGCAGACGCAGCGACCTGAGGGGGGGCAGTAGTCATTGTGTACAAGTCCGACCCCGGCTGCCGAGTGAAGGTAGCCAAGTGGCGGCCTGTACGGGCACACGTGCAGTGTGTGACACGCTCGTAGGCAGGGGTGAACTGGTGATATTTGCATCCTGTAGTGCACAACCTGCCACCAAGTTCGTAGAGAACGAGGGGAGGTGGAGACCTGACAATGTGCCCGACGGGACCGCAGGACAGGGAAGGACAGTGGAGGAGGTCGCAAGGACCGGACCCCCAGAGGGGTCAGCGAGGGAGACAGCGACTGGCCGAGCAAGGGGCTCAAGGGCAGTGCGGTCACGAAAGACACAGCGAGAGGCACCTGAATCCAGTGTGAAGGTGTGCAGTGCTGCAGTCGACACAGTACTAGGGGGGGCAAACGTACACGCACCTAGAGCAGCAGCCTCACCAGCACCTGGGGTAGCGGCCACGCGAGTACCTGGAGCGGCAGACGCACTAATCCTAATGCCCGGGTCGGGCGGGACACTCAGGTACTCAGCACCCTCTCCACTAGTAGACATCACATACATGGCAGTGAGAATAGCATCAAAGTCTAGAGCATAAATATCAATCCCCTTCTTCAGGAGATCAATCCAGCGTGGCTGCTCAGTGGCCTGAGGGAACTGAACACGCCAAGCGTCGTTCAGACGAGCGAAGCAACGCTGTGTGGCGTGCGGTCCCCCACACGGCTGGCCAGTGCGGTCACCAGTGCGAATGACGTACGTGCAGCTAAGGCCAGCCCCCCCCCCCCCCCGTGCTGAGAGTACCACTCACGGACCTCCTGGGGCGACGGAGTGTGCTGCTGGCCCTGGCCACCGCCAGTGCCTCCACGACCACCACTGCCGCTACCACCTCCTCGACCACCCCAACCCCTGCCGCTGCCTCGTCCACCGCCACCCCCACCACCTCCTCCGCCCTGGCCACCTCCCCCGCCGCTGCCGCCACCCCCCCCACTGCTGCCACCTCCCCCACCCGCGCCACCCCCCCCGCCACCACCACCTCCCCCACCACCGCCACCCCCGCTGTCACCACCACCGCCCTTGCCCCCCTTGCCCTTGCCGCTGCGGCGCCCACTCGAAGCTGACGCAGTCCCGACCTTCTCAGCACCAAGGAGGTCGACAGCAGCAGCAGAGGCGACAGAGGGAAAAAGGGGGGAGGGCGAACACCCCTCAAAGAACGGGGTACGGGGGTCACCGCGAGAGGCACCTACAGCGACTATGCTAGCCTCAGCTGCAAGGAGTTCCTTCTCGAGGAGGGCAATGGTGAGCTCGGTGGGGCAACGAGCTAGGAAGTGGTCCCTGACTGAGCGCAGAGTGTCAGGGAGGCGCGTGACTAGGTGGTAGAGAGTGAGCCAGAGCGGGGGTGGGTTCTTGGCAAGGAACTCATCAGGCATAGCGGCGCGGAAGCGAGCCTCACTAGTGCGGAGGTGGGTAATGAGATCAGCGACAGTGTGGAAGGAAGCTAAGTCGGGGAACAGGTAGGGAAGAGAGAGACGGCCTAGAGCGGCAGAGGCCGGTGAGGAGTAGCGGGCAACGACAACAGTGTACAGTGCCTACGCAGTCTTGTGCTACCCAAAGTGCTCGCGCTCATCTATCGGCAGAGAGTTGCGAATAGCGAAGCGAGCATGGGCGTCACGAGTCTGCCACTGTGAGCGGGCAGTGCTGTCAGGAGTAGCAGCAGGAGCAGTAGCGTGGCCTAAGGCGTGATCGTACAGCGAGATGTCTTCCTTGGCAGTGAGTTGTAGGAAGAGGTGTAGGTCATCAAGCCAGGTGTCGAACTTCACTGGGCGGCCCTCAGCATCGAAGGCTAGTACAGGAGGGCTAGCCATGGTAGCAGCTGTAGGAAAAGCAGTAGGAGAAGTAGGGTAGGTAGGGAGGCGCGGCTCGGTATAGGTAGGGCGGCGCGGCTCGGTATAGGTAGGGCGGCGCGGCTCGGGTCGGGCCGCGCGGCTCGGTTCGGGCGGCTCGGGTCGGGCGGCGCGGCTCGGTTCGGGCGGCTCGGTTCCGTTAGGGTTGGGCGGCTCGGTTCGGCTCGGTTCGGCCTCCTCGGTTCGGGCGGCTCGTTATGGGTGGGGCCATAAGGGACGAGCGCGGGGCCGACGTGGGCACTGAGGGACGAGCGTGGGGCCGATTGGGGCCGTAAGGGACGAGCGCGGGGCCGACGTGGGCCTATAAGGGTAAGCGCGGGGCCGACGTGGGCCTCTAAGGGCGAGCGCGAGGCCTATCGGGGCCGTGAGGGACGAGCGCGGGGCCGATCGGGGCCGTAAGGGACGAGCGCGGGGCCGACGTGGGCCTCTAAGGGCGAGCGCGGGGCCTATCGGGGCCGTGAGGGACGAGCGCGGGGCCGATCGGGGCCGGAAGGGACGAGCGCGGGGCCAACGCGGGCCTCTAGGGGTAAGCGCGGGGCCGATTCGGGGCCGTTAAGGACGAGCGCGGGGCCGACGCGGGCCTCTAGGGGTAAGCGCGGGGCCGACGGGGCCTCTAAAAGCGAGCGCGGGAACGTCAAGGCGCCCTAGGGCGTAGGTAGGTAGTTAGGTAGGTAGTGGTGGGCCCTAAAAAAAATCGGTCCTAGGAAGGACCTGCTCTATACCATGTTGAACAAGGAATGAATGAACTAACAGTGAAATGAGTACAAGTATGAAAACCTAGAAATGTGTACCCCCTATAGGCTAACCCACTGTAGCCTAAACAACTACAACAACATGTATAATGTTTGACACAGCGGCGCGGGGCCGGGACGAGCGGCGCACGGGCAGCGTGGGGCCGGGACGGGCGGCGCACGGGCGTCGACGGGCCGGGGCAGCGGCGCGGGGCCGGGACGAGCGGCGCACGGGCGGCGTGGGGCCGGGACGGGCGGCGCACGGGCGTCGACGGGCCGGGAAGGGCGGCGCACGGGCGTCGACGGGCCGAGGCAGCGGCGCGGGGCCGGGACGAGCGGCGCACGGGCGGCGTGGGGCCGGGACGGGCGGCGCACGGGCGTCGACAGGCCGGGATGGCCGGCGCACGGGCGTCGACAGGCCGGGGCAGCGGCGCGGGGCCGGGACGAGCGGCGCACGGGCGGCGTGGGGCCGGGACGGGCGGCGCACGGGCGTCGACGGGCCGGGGCAGCGGCGCGGGGCCGGGACGAGCGGCGCACGGGCGGCGTGGGGCCGGGACGGGCGGCGCACGGGCGTCGACGGGCCGGGAAGGGCGGCGCACGGGCGTCGACAGGCCGAGGCAGCGGCGCGGGGCCGGGACGAGCGGCGCACGGGCGGCGTGGGGCCGGGACGGGCGGCGCACGGGCGTCGACGGGCCGGGGCAGCGGCGCGGGGCCGGGACGAGCGGCGCACGGGCGGCGTGGGGCCGGGACGGGCGGCGCACGGGCGTCGACGGGCCGGGAAGGGCGGCGCACGGGCGTCGACGGGCCGAGGCAGCGGCGCGGGGCCGGGACGAGCGGCGCACGGGCGGCGTGGGGCCGGGACGGGCGGCGCACGGGCGTCGACAGGCCGGGATGGCCGGCGCACGGGCGTCGACAGGCCGGGGCAGCGGCGCGGGGCCGGGACGAGCGGCGCACGGGCGGCGTGAGGCCGGGACGGGCGGCGCACGGGCGTCGACAGGCCGGGATGGCCGGCGCACGGGCGTCGACAGGCCGGGGCAGCGGCGCGGGGCCGGGACGAGCGGCGCACGGGCGGCGTGGGGCCGGGACGGGCGGCGCACGGGCGTCGACGGGCCGGGACGGGCGGCGCACGGGCGTCGACGGGCCGGGACGGGCGGCGCACGGGCGTCGACCGGCCGGGGCAGCGGCGCGGGGCCGGGACGAGCGGCGCACGAGGGGCGTGGGGCAGGGACGGGCGGCGCACGGGCGTCGACGGGCCGGGGCAGCGGCGCGGGGCCGGGACGAGCGGCGCACAGGCGGCGTGGGGCCGGGACGGGCGGCGCACGGGCGTCGACGGGCCGGGACGGGCGGCGCACGGGCGTCGACGGGCCGGGGCAGCGGCGCGGGGCCGGGACGGGCGGCGCACGGGCGTCGACGGGCCGGGGCAGCGGCGCGGGGCCGGGACGAGCGGCGCACGGGCGGCGTGGGGCCGGGACGGGCGGCGCACGGGCGTCGACGGGCCGGGGCAGCGGCACGGGGCTGGGACGAGCGGCGCACGGGTGGCGTGGGGCCGGGACGGGCGGCGCACGGGCGTCGACGGGCCGGGACGGGCGGCGCACGGGCGTCGACGGGCCGGGGCAGCGGCGCGGGGCCGGGACGGGCGGCGCACGGGCGTCGACGGGCCGGGGCAGCGGCGCGGGGCCGGGACGAGCGGCGCACGGGCGGCGTGGGGCCGGGACGGGCGGCGCACGGGCGTCGACGGGCCGGGGCAGCGGCACGGGGCTGGGACGAGCGGCGCACGGGTGGCGTGGGGCCGGGACGGCCGGCGCACGGGCGTCGACGGGCCGGGACGGGCGGCGCACGGGCGTCGACAGGCCGGGGCAGCGGCGCGGGGCCGGGACGAGCGGCGCACGGGCGGCGTGGGGCCGGGACGGGCGGCGAACGGGCGTCGACAGGCCGGGGCAGCGGCGCGGGGCTGGGACGAGCGGCGCACGGGTGGCGTGGGGCCGGGACGGGCGGCGCACGGGCGTCGACGGGCCGGGACGGGCGGCGCACGGGCGTCGACAGGCCGGGGCAGCGGAGCGGGGCCGGGACGAGCGGCGCACGGGCGGCGTGGGGCCGAGACAGGCGGCGCACGGGCGTCGACGGGCCGGGGCAGCGGCGCGGGGCCGGGACGAGTGGCGCACAGGCGGCGTGGGGCCGGGACGGGCGGCGCACGGGCGTCGACGGGCCTGGGCAGCGGCGCGGGGCTGGGACGAGCGGCGCACGGGCGTCGACGGGCCGGGACGGGCGGCACACGGGCGTCGACAGGCCGGGGCAGCGGCGCGGGGCCGGGACGAGCGGCGCACGGGCGGCGTGGGGCCGGGACGGGCGGCGCATGGGCGTCGACGGGCTGGGGCAGCGGCGCGGGGCCGGGACTAGCGGCGCACGGGTGGCGTGGGGCCAAGACGGGCGGCGCACGGGCGTCGACGGGCCGGGACGGGCGGCGCACGGGCGTCGACAGGCTGGGGCAGCGGCGTGGGGCCGGAACGAGCGGCGCACAGGCGGCGTGGGGCCGGGACAGGCGGCGCACGGGCGTCGACGGGCCGGGGCAGCGGCGCGGGGCCGGGACGAGCGGCGCACAGGCGGCGTGGGGCCGGGACGGGCGGCGCACGGGCGTCGACGGGCCGGGACGGGCGGCGCACGGGCGTCGACGGGCCGGGGCAGCGGCGCGGGGCCGGGACGGGCGGCGCACGGGCGTCGACGGGCCGGGGCAGCGGCGCGGGGCTGGGACGAGCGGCGCACGGGTGGCGTGGGGCCGGGACGGGCAGCGCACGGGCGTCGACAGGCCGGGGCAGCGGCGCGGGGCCGGGACGAGCGGCGCACGGGCGGCGTGGGGCCGGGACGGGCGGCGCACGGGCGTCGACGGGCTGGGGCAGCGGCGCGGGGCCGGGACGAGCGGCGCACGGGTGGCGTGGGGCCAGGACGGGCGGCGCACGGGCGTCGACGGGCCGGGACGGGCGGCGCACGGGCGTCGACAGGCTGGGGCAGCGGCGCGGGGCCGGGACGAGCGGCGCACGAGCGGCGTGGGGCCGGGACAGGCGGCGCACGGGCGTCGACGGGCCGGGGCAGCGGCGCGAGGCCGGGAGGAGCGACGCACAGGCGGCGTGGGGCCGGGACAGGCGGCGCACGGGCGTCGACGGGCCGGGGCAGCGGCGCGGGGCCGGGACGAGCGGCGCACAGGCGGCGTGGGGCCGGGACGGGCGGCGCACGGGCGTCGACGGGCCGGGACGGGCGGCGCACGGGCGTCGAAGGGCCGGGGCAGCGGCGCGGGGCCGGGACGGGCGGCGCACGGGCGTCGACGGGCCGGGGCAGCGGCGCGGGGCTGGGACGAGCGGCGCACGGGTGGCGTGGGGCCGGGACGGGCAGCGCACGGGCGTCGACAGGCCGGGGCAGCGGCGCGGGGCCGGGATGAGCGGCGCACGGGCGGCGTGGGGCCGGGACGGGCGGCGCACGGGCGTCGACGGGCTGGGGCAGCGGCGCGGGGCCGGGACGAGCGGCGCACGGGTGGCGTGGGGCCAGGACGGGCGGCGCACGGGCGTCGACGGGCCGGGACGGGCGGCGCACGCGCGTCGACAGGCTGGGGCAGCGGCGCGGGGCCGGGACGAGCGGCGCACGGGTGGCGTGGGGCCAGGACGGGCGGCGCACGGGCGTCGACGGGCCGGGACAGGCGGCGCACGGGCGTCGACAGACTGGGGCACCGGCGCGGGGCCGGGACGAGCGGCGCACGGGCGGCGTGGGGCCGGGACAAGCGGCGCACGGGCGTCGACGGGCCGGGGCAGCGGCGCGGGGCCGGGACGAGCAGCGCACAGGCGGCGTGGGGCCGGGACGGGCGGCGCACGGGCGTCGACGGGCCGGGGCAGCGGCGCGGGGCCGGGACGAGCGGCGCACAGGCGGCGTGGGGCCGGGACGGGCGGCGCACGGGCGTCGACGGGCCGGGGCAGCGGCGCGGGGCCGGGACGCGCGGCGCACGGGCGTCGACGGGCCGGGGCAGCGGAGCAGGGCCGGGACGAGCGGCGCACGGGCGGCGTGGGGCCGGGACGGGCGGCGCACGGGCGACGACGGGCCGGGGCAGCGGCGCGGGGCCGGGACGAGCGGCGCACGGGCGGCGTGGGGCCGGGACGGGCGGTGCACGGGCGTCGACGGGCCGGGACGGGCGGCGCACGGGCGTCGACGGGCCGGGGCAGCGGCGCGGGGCCGGGACGAGCGGCGCACGGGCGGCGTGGGGCCGGGACAGGCGGCGCACGGGCGTCGACGGGCCGGGGCAGCGGCGCGGGGCCGGGACGAGCGGCGCACTGGCGGCGTGGGGCCGGGACGGGCGGCGCACGGGCGTCGACGGGCCGGGACGGGCGGCGCACGGGCGTCGACGGGCCGGGGCAGCGGCGCGGGGCCGGGACGAGCGGCGCACGGGCGGCGTGGGGCCGGGACGGGCGGCGCACGGGCGTCGACGGGCCGGGGCAGCGGCGCGGGGCCGGGACGAGTGGCGCACAGGCGGCGTGGGGCCGGGACGGGCGGCGCACGGGCGTCGACGGGCCGGGACGGGCGGCGCACGGGCGTCGACGGGCCGGGGCAGCGGCGCGGGGCCGGGACGGGCGGCGCACGGGCGTCGATGGGCCGGGGCGGCGGCGCGGGGCCGGGACGAGTGGCGCACGGGCGGCGTGGGGCCGGGACGGGCGGCGCACGGGCGTCGACGGGCCGGGGCAGCGGCGCGGGGCCGGGACGAGCGGCGCACGGGTGGCGTGGGGCCGGGACGGGCGGCGCACGGGCGTCGACGGGCCGGGGCAGCGGCGCGGGGCCGGGACGAGCGGCGCACGGGTGGCGTGGGGCCGGGACGGGCGGCGCACGGGCGTCGACGGGCCGGGACGGGCGGCGCACGGGCGTCGACAGGCCGGGGCAGCGGCGCGGGGCCGGGACGAGCGGCGCACGGGCGGCGTGGGGCCGGGACGCGCGGCGCACGGGCGTCAACGGGCTGGGGCAGCGGCGCGGGGCCGGAACGAGCGGCGCACGGGCGGCGTGGGGCCGGGACGGGCGGCGCACGGGCGTCGACGGGCCGGGACGGGCGGCGCACGAGCGTCGACAGGCCGGGGCAGCGGCGCGGGGCCGCGACGAGCGGCGCACGGGCGACGTGGGGCCGGGACGAGCGGCGCACGGGCGTCGACGGGCCGGGGCAGCGGCGCGGGGCCGGGACGAGCGGCGCACAGACGGCGTGGGGCCGGGACGGGCGGCGCACGGGCGTCGACGGGCCGGGACGGGCGGCGCACGGGCGTCGACGGGCTGGGGCAGCGGCGCGGGGCCGGGACGGGCGGCGCACGGGCGTCGACGGGCCGGGGCAGCGGCGCGGGGCCGGGACGAGCGGCGCACAGGCGGCGTGGGGCCGGGACGGGCGGCGCACGGGCGTCGACGGGCCGGGACGGGCGGCGCACGGGCGTCGACGGGCCGGGGCAGCGGCGCGGGGCCGGGACGAGCGGCGCACAGGCGGCGTGGGGCCAGGACGGGCGGCGCACGGGCGTCGACGGGCCGGGGCAGCGGCGCGGGGCCGGGACGGGCGGCGCACGGGCGTCGACGGGCCGGGGCAGCGGCGCGGGGCCGGGACGAGCGGCGCACGGGCGGCGTGGGGCCGGGACGGGCGGCGCACGGGCATCGACGGGCCGGGGCAGCGGCGCGGGGCCGGGACGAGCGGCGCACGGGCGGCGTGGGGCCGGGACGGGCGGTGCACGGGCGTCGACGGGATGGGACGGGCGGCGCACGGGCGTCGACGGGCCGGGGCAGCGGCGCGGGGCCGGGACGAGCGGCGCACGGGCGGCGTGGGGCCGGGACGGGCGGCGCACGGGCGTCGACGGGCCGGGGCAGCGGCGCGGGGCCGGGACGAGCGGCGCACTGGCGGCGTGGGGCCGGGACGGGCGGCGCACGGGCGTCGACGGGCCGGGACGGGCGGCGCACGGGCGTCGACGGGCCGGGGCAGCGGCGCGGGGCCGGGACGAGCGGCGCACGGGCGGCGTGGGGCCGGGACGGGCGGCGCACGGGCGTCGACGGGCAGGGGCAGCGGCGCAGGGCCGGGACGAGTGGCGCACAGGCGGCGTGGGGCCGGGACGGGCGGCGCACGGGCGTCGACGGGCCGGGACGGGCGGCGCACGGGCGTCGACGGGCCGGGGCAGCGGCGCGGGGCCGGGACGGGCGGCGCACGGGCGTCGATGGGCCGGGGCGGCGGCGCGGGGCCGGGACGAGCGGCGCACGGGCGGCGTGGGGCCGGGACGGGCGGCGCACGGGCGTCGACGGGCCGAGGCAGCGGCGCGGGGCCGGGACGAGCGGCGCACGGGTGGCGTGGGGCCGGGACGGGCGGCGCACGGGCGTCGACGGGCCGGGACGGGCGGCGCACGGGCGTCGACGGGCCGGGGCAGCGGCGCGGGGCCGGGACGAGCGGCGCACGGGCGGCGTAGGGCCGGGACGTGCGGCGCACGGGCGTTGACGAGCTGGGGCAGCGGCGCGGGGCCGGGACGAGCGGCGCACGGGCGGCGTGGGGCCGGGACGGGCGGCGCACGGGCGTCGACAGGCCGGGACGGGCGGCGCACGGGCGTCGACAGGTCGGGGCAGCGGCGCGGGGCCGCGACGAGCGGCGCACGGGCGGCGTAGGGCCGGGACGGGCGTCGACGGGCCGGGGCAGCGGCGCGGGGCCGGGACGAGCGGCGCACAGACGGCGTGGGGCCGGGACAGGCGGCGCACGGGCGTCGACGGGCCGGGACGGGCGGCGCACGGGCGTCGACGGGCTGGGGCAGCGGCGCGGGGCCGGGACGGGCAGCGCACGGGCGTCGACGGTCCGGGGCAGCGGCGCGGGGCCGGGACGAGCGGCGCACGGGCGGCGTGGGGCCGGGACGGGCGGCGCACGGGCGCCGACGGGCCGGGGCAGCGGCGCGGGGCCAGGATGAGCGGCGCACGGGTGGCGTGGGGCCGGGACGGGCGGCGCACGGGCGTCGACGAGCCGGGACGGGCGGCGCACGGGCGTCGACGGGCCGGGGCAGCGGCGCGGGGCCGGGACGGGCGGCACACGGGCGTCGACGGGCCGGGGCAGCGGCGCGGGGCCGGGACGAGTGGCGCACGGGCGGCGTGGGGCCGGGACGGGCGGCGCACGGGCATCGACGGGCTGGGGCAGCGGCGCGGGGCCGGGACGAGCGGCGCACGGGCGGCGTGGGGCCGGGACGGGCGGTGCACGGGCGTCGACGGGCCGGGATGGGCGGCGCACGGGCGTCGACGGGCCGGGGCAGCGGCGCGGGGCCGGGACGAGCGGCGCACGGGCGGCGTGGGTCCGGGACGGGCGGCGCACGGGCGTCGACGGGCCGGGGCAGCGGCGCGGGGCCGGGACGAGCGGCGCACTGGCTGCGTGGGGCCGGGACGGGCGGCGCACGGGCGTCGACGGGCCGGGACGGGCGGCGCACGGGCGTTGACGGGCCGGGGCGGCGGCGCGGGGCCGGGACGAGCGGCGCACGGGCGGCGTGGGGCCGGGACGGGCGGCGCACGGGCGTCGACGGGCCGGGGCAGCGGCACGGGGCTGGGACGAGCGGCGCACGGGTGGCGTGGGGCCGGGACGGGCGGCGCACGGGCGTCGACGGGCCGGGACGGGCGGCGCACGGGCGTCGACGGGCCGGGGCAGCGGCGCGGGGCCGGGACGGGCGGCGCACGGGCGTCGATGCGCCGGGGCGGCGGCGCGGGGCCGGGACGAGCGGCGCACGGGCAGCGTGGGGCCGGGACGGGCGGCGCACGGGCGTCGACGGGCCGGGGCAGCGGCGCGGGGCCGGGACGAGCGGCGCACGGGTGGCGTGGGGCCGGGACGGGCGGCGCACGGGCGTCGACGGGCCGGGACGGGCGGCGCACGGGCGTCGACAGGCCGGGGCAGCGGCGCGGGGCCGGGACGAGCGGCGCACGGGCGGCGTGGGGCCGGGACGCGCGGCGCACGGGCGTCGACGGGCTGGGGCAGCGGCGCGGGGCCGGGACGAGCGGCGCGGGGCCGGGACGAGCGGCGCACGGGCGGCGTGGGGCCGGGACGGGCGGCGCCCGGGCGTCGACGGGCCGGGACGGGCGGCGCACGGGCGTCGACAGGTCGGGGCAGCGGCGCGGGGCCGCGACGAGCGGCGCACGGGCGGCGTGGGGCCGGGACGGGCGGCGCACGGGCGTCGACGGGCTGGGGCAGCGGCGCGGGGCCGGGACGGGCGGCGCACGGGCGTCGACGGGCCGGGGCAGCGGCGCGGGGCCGGGACGAGCGGCGCACGGGCGGCGTGGGGCCGGGACGGGCGGCGCACGAGCGTCGACGGGCCGGGGCAGCGGCGCGGGGCCAGGACGAGCGGCGCACGGGTGGCGTGGGGCCGGGACGGGCGGCGCACGGGCGTCGACGAGCCGGGACGGGCGGCGCACGGGCGTCGACGGGCCGGGGCAGTGGCGCGGGGCCGGGACGGGCGGCGCACGGGCGTCGACGGGCCGGGGCAGCGGCGCGGGGCCAGGACGAGCGGCGCACGGGCGTCGTGGGGTTGGGACGGCGGCGCGGGGGGCGGCCCCCCCCCCCCCTCGCCCGTCGCGGCGCCTCCAGAGGGCGACGCGGCAAACGACGGGGCAGAAGCCTGCCGCGCGCGTCGGGGCGCACAACGGGCAGAGAACGGCCGCGCGCCTCAGGGCGCACGGCGGGCAGAAAACCGCCGCGCGCCTCGGGGCGCACGGAGGGAAGAAAAACTGCCGCACGCCACGGGGCGTGCGGCACAAAGAGTAGCAGTAGCAGTTGCAGCGGAAGCAACGAGGTGGTGAGCCCACCCACAGGATCGATCCAAGTGGATCAACCTGCTCTGATAGCACGAGAAAGAAGAGGGTTTGACTAGCAAGAATGGTGATACAAATAGCAAACCCTAACAGGGTTGTACTCGCTATAGAGCACCCCACTACAGGCTAGATAAGAACATTCTGACAGGCGAAGTAGTAGAAGGTTTTGGCGTTGACGCTGTCGCGAGGGTTATCGTCGTCCATGGGTACGTCGACGGAGCAGTATGGGAGGGGTCCAGCTTCTTCTGATGCGTTGGCCACATTCTGTGTCAGAACATTATAGCTTATGCTTCTATGTAGGCTGTAGTGGGGTAGCCCATATAGGTTACAACCCAATTAGGGTTAGTACTTGTACCTAACTCTTTCATAGTTCAATCATTCTCGTTTCTTCTCATGGTTTCTGAGCAGGTTCCCTAGTGGGAACGCTACCTAGGGCCCACTACGATTTTTTTTTTTTTTCCTGCCCGGAGCGCGCCTCAGACTAGACCGAGTCGCGCGCGCCCCGTGTGCCCTCCCTACCGTCGCGCCGCCCTTTGTGGCCCCTCGCGCTGCCCGTCGACCCCACGCGCCGCCCTAGCGGCCCCTCCTAGCGCCACCCGTCGACCCCGCACGCCGCCTTAGCGGTTCCTTACGCCACCCGTCGACCCCGCGCACCGCCCATGCGGCCTCGCCGCCCTTACCTGCGGCCCCACCGCCCTCACCTGCGGTCCCCGCCGCCCTTAACTGCGGTCCCCACCGCCCTCGACTGCGGCCTCGCCGAGCAACCGACCGCCGCGCCGCCTTGCAGCAGCACGGCCGAGCCGCCCAGCAGCTGAGTAGCCGAGCAGCCGAGCCGCCCAGCAGCCGAGCAGCCGAGCCGCCCAGCAACCGAGCAACCGAGGCGCCCTGCAGCCGAGCCGCCCAGCAACCGAGCCGCCCTACAGCCGAGCCGCCCAGCAGCCGAGCCGCCGTGCAGCCGAGCCGCCGAGCCGCCCTACCTCCGAGCCGCCCGAGCAGCCCCATCCAGTGAGCATAGTGCCTCTTTCACTGCACTGCCCTCACCCTACTGTTGCACTACTAGTCTACTGTGGTCATGGCTACCCCTAGTGTCCTCGCTTTTGACGCTGAGGGTCGAGCCTTTGACTTTGACGTCTGGGTAGATGACCTGCAGATGTTTTTACAGTGCGATAGGGCAGACGGTCTCTCACTCTTTGACCTCACCTCTGGCGCCTCTCCTGCCCCTGCTGCTGATGCCGACGCCACTATTCGCTCCCAGTGGGCCACGCGCGACGCTGCTGCATGTCTTGCTGTGCGTCGCCACCTCCCTACCTCCGAGCGTGCGCACTTTAGTCAGTACAAGAGTGCGCAGACCTTGTGCGACGCTGTAATAGCGCGCTACTCCTCCCCTGCCACTGCTGCAGTGAGCCGTCTCATGCTACCGTACCTCTTCCCTGACCTTGCTGCCTTTCCCACAGTAGCTGGCCTCATTACACACCTCCGCATCAGTGACACTCGCTACCGCGCTGCGCTTCCTGCTGACTTCTGCGCCAAGAACCCCCCCCCCCATGTACATCACTCTCTACTACATAGTAACTCGCCTCACTGACTCCCTTCGCGTAGTCAGGGACCACTTCCTCTCAGTCTGTCCCACCACTCTTACTGTTGACCTCCTCGAGAAGTCCCTCCTAGCGGTCGAGAAGAGCATAGTCGCTGTAGGGGCCTCTCGTGGTGACCCGCGCACCCCCATCTTTGAGGGGTGTTCCCCCTCCCCCCTTCTCCCCTCTGTTGCCTCTGCTGCTGCGGCCGACCTCCTTGGTCTTGAGTCGGTCGGTGTGGCGTCTGCCCCTAGCGGGAGACGCCGCTCTGGCAAGGGCAAGGGGAGTAGGGGCACTGGAGGAGCGAGCGGGGGCGGTGGAGGTGGAGGTGGAGGCGGCTGGGGGAGTGGGGGTGGCGGTGGGAGTGGAGGTGGGGGTGGAGGTGTCGGTGGCGGCAGTGGAGGCGGAGGCGGCGGCGGCGGTGGCGGTGGGAGCGGAGGTGGCGGAGGTGGCGGCAGTGGAGGAGGCGGCGGAGGCGGCGGTAGTAGCGGAGGCGGCAGATGCGGCGGAGGCGGCGGGGGTGGCGGTGGAGCTGGTCGCGGGTCTACGCAGAGGAGTGGCTCCGGTGGTGGTCCGCGCCAGCAGCAGCAGCGTGGTCATGAGACCCTGTCCCCTCAGCAGCTCCATGAGTGGTACACTGCACGCCAGCGGGGTGGGGGTTTTGGTCCGTGCACCTACGTCCTGCGCACCGGCGACCGTGCGGGTGAGCAGTGTGGGGGTGCGCACCCCACCCAGCGCTGCTTTGGCCGCCTGACAGACGCGTGGCATCACCAGTTCCCGGAGGCCATAGAGATCCCTCGCTGGGGCGAGCTGTCTAGGGCGGGTGTTGCCATCTATGATCTTGATTTTGATGCTATTCTTTCTGCCATGTATGCTGTGTCTATTAGTGATGAGGGTGACTGTTACCGGTGTTTCCCACCCGATCCGGGCATTGAGACTGCTGCTCTAGGTACTGGTGAGGCGGCTGCCCTAGGTGCTTGCGACACTGCTACTCTAGGTGCTAGTGTGTCTGTGTCCTCAGGTACTGGTGAGTCGGCGCTCTCAGGTACTACGTCGGCTTCGGCCTCCCTCACCTTCACCCTTGACTCTGGGGCTTCTCGCTCCTTCTTTCGGGACCGCACCACACTCACGCCGCTTAGTCGGCTGGTTGCGGGCTCTCTGGCTGACCCCTCTGGGGGTCCTGTCCTGTCTCACTTCTGCATAGTCCTCCCGTGTCCGGCGACTCCCCCTGGCACCCTGTCTGGTCTCTACCTCCCCTCGTTCTGTACGAACCTGGTGAGTGGTGCTGACCTATAGGATGGGGGAGTCCACCAGTTCACTCCTGCGCGTCAGCGGGTGACGCACTGCACAGAGGCTAGCACAGGCCGACACCTGGCTACGTTTACTTGTCAGCCGGGGTCAAGCCTGTACACACTAACCACTGCGTCTCCTCCAGTTGCTGAGTTTGGTAGGGTAGCTGCGTCGGGTCAAGTGTTTGCTGCAGCGTCCAGGTCTGGTCCTGAGTCTGCCCCCTGTTCGTGTCGTCTCCTGTCTCACGAGACTCTCCTCTGGCACCACCGCCTTGGTCACCCCTCTCTGCTTTGGCTCAAAGGCATGGCCTCCCGTCTTCTTGTTTCTGGTCTCCCCCGATATCTCCCTCCCCTTCCTCAGGGCCCTGGCCCTACCTGTGTCCCCTGTGTCGAGGGGCGCCAGCGGGCTGCCCCTCACTCCTCCTAGTTTCCTCCTACAGAGGCCCCGTTGCATACGCTTCACATGGACGTGTGGGGCCCAGCCCGCGTCCGTGGACTCGGTCACGAGCGCTACTTCCTGCTCGTTGTTGACGACTACTCGCGTTACACCGCAGTCTTCCCCTTGCGCAGCAAGGGTGATGTCACTGAGGTGCTAATCGACTGGATCCGCGCAGCTCGTCTCCAGCTCAGGCAGAGCTTTGGCTCGGAATTTCCTATTCTGCGTCTGCACTCGGACAGAGGCGGAGAGTTTTCCTCTGGCCTTCTGAGAGCCTACTGTCGTGCACGAGGCATCCGTCAGACCTTCACGTTTCCGGACTCCCCGCAGCAAAATGGGATTGCTGAGCGTCGCATTGGCATGGTCATGGACGTCGCTCGTACGTCTATGATGCATGCGGCTGCTCCCCATTTTCTGTGGCCGTTTGCGGTGAGGTACGCGGCGCATCAGATCAACCTACACCTCAGGGTCTCCAGGCCGGAGACCTCCTCAGCCTTGCTGTGGACGGGGAAGGTTGGCGATGCGTCGGCGTTTCGGGTCTGGGGATCTGGAGCGTTTGTCCGCGACGTGTTTGCGGACAAGCTGTCCCCTTGTGCTGCTCTTTGCGTCTTCCTGAGGTTCCCCCCTGACGCGCCTGGGTGGCAGTTCTACCACCCCACCTCTCGCCGTGTTCTGTCCTCCCAGGACGTCACGTTTGACGAGTCGGTCCCCTACTACCGCCTCTTCCCTTACCGCACTCCGTCCCTCCCCCCGTCGCCGCTCTTCTTGGTACCAGGTCCCCCTTCCAGTAGACCCCCTCCCCCCTCAGGGTCCGTCCCCTTCAGGTGTGTCCCAGGTAGACGCAGTCGAGCCTGTCGAGGTCACTGGTGACTCTGGTGCTGCTGAGGGTGCTGAGCCTGGGGGTGCTGACTCTGGGGGTGCTGAGCCTGGGGGTGCTGGGCCTGGGGGTGCTGAGCTTGGGGGTGCTGAGCCTGGGGGTGCTTTGCCTGGGGGTGCTACACCTGGGGGTACTGAGCCTGGGGGTGCTGAGCTTGGAGGTGCTCCGCCTAGAGGTTCTCCGGGGGCTTCGTCTCTGCGGGAGCCACTCTCTCCACAGGAGCTGCGCGAGTGGTTTGCCCGGTGCTGGAGGCGTGCTGCTGGTACTGGAGGTTCTTCGGCTCCTGAGGGTGCTGCTGTCGCGGGTCCCGGAGGTGCTCGTACTGGGAGTACTGGAGCTGCTGGGCCTGCGGGTTCGACTGGAGCTGGTGCTGCTGAGGGTGTTGGCGCTTAGACTACTACTAGCGGTCCTCCTGCGGGTACTCGTGGTGCTGCTGGAGGTTCTGGAGCTGCTGGAAGTGCATCTGTTGCGGGTGCTCCTGCTGAGGGTACTGGTGCTGTCCCTGCTGTGTCTAGCGTCACCGCGCAGCCTCGACCGTACCTCGGACCACTCCTGCAGCAGGTTCTTGGTCTTCCGCCTTCTACTGGTCCTCCTCCTTCTTTAGAGTGTCCACAGCCTGTCCAGTCCCAGTTACAGTTGCAGCCTACCTCCCCTTTGCCTGCTCCTTCTCCCTACACTGGTCCTACTGGAGGTCTTGCTGAGCGTCGTGAGCCTGTGTCTCGCCCTGCGTCGCCTGTCCGTGCTGCTCGCGCTAGTGGTTGTGGTTCGCGTCAGCGTCCTCCTCATGTCCCTGGCACGCACCGGATGTCTCTGCGTCCGTCCATTGCTCCTCTGCGTGCCCCTTTGCCTTCTCCTCCTGAGTCCTCTCTTCCTGCCCTTGCCGACCCGGAGTCGGACTCTCTTCGTGCTGCTAGTCCTACTGTCACGCGTCTCCTGTCTACTGTTGTCACTGACCCTTCTTTCGAGTCCACTGTTGCGTCTGCCCTAGTTGCTGAGCTCGTCGACTTTGCTGCTCGCTGTCGCCTAGACTACACTGCTAGTCTTGTCGCTGAGTCCGAGTCTGTCTGTCCTCCGTCCGTTGGGGGTGAGTGTGCCCTTGGCACGGACCTCCTCGAGGACAGGCAGGAGGAGTTCTAGTGTCTGGCAGCTGCTTCACCCCATCTCGTGTCCGTATTGCTTACCCCTGAGGGAGACCCGGATGCACTTGACATCCCGGCTCCGCGCTCCTACGCGGAGGCGATAGAGGGTCCCTACTCCTCTCAGTGGCAGGCAGCTATGGACACAGAGATGGCTTCCTGGAAGTCCACAGGCACCTACGTTGACGCGGTTCCCCCGCCTGGGGCGAACATCATCAGTGGCATGTGGATCTTCAGGGTGAAGCGGCCGCCGCGTTCTCCGCCTGTCTTCAAGGCACGTTACGTGGCTCGTTGCTTCAGTCACCGGCAGGGAGTTGACTACTTTTAGAACTTCTCTCCCACCCCGAAGATGACCACTCTTCGGGTACTGCTGCACGTTGCTGCTCAGCGTGACTACGAGCTGCACTCTCTTGACTTCAGCACAGCTTTCTTGCAGGGCAGCCTGCACGAGGAGATCTGGCTGCGTCGCCCACCTGGCTTCACTGGGTCGTTCCCTCCTGGTACTCAGTGGAGTCTCCGGCGTCCAGTCTACGGTCTCCGCCAGGCGCCACGTGAGTGGCACGACACACTGACGACTACACTTGCGGCTCTTGGGTTTGCTCCTTCTACTGCAGACCCGTTGCTGTTTCTGCGCACTGACACACCTCTCTGCCGCCGTTCTACATCCTCGTGTACGTCGACGACTTGGTCTTTGCCACAGCTGACACTGCTGGACTCGCCTACGTGAATTCCGAGCTGCAGAAGAGACACACGTGCACAGTC